GCCAGCTGCTCTCATACATCTCACTGTCGTGTTTGCTACGTGACATTTGCTGAAACTAGTTCCAGCCGCTGCGGAAGGTGAAGCGCTCCCTCTCGTGGGTGTGATAAACCATTACGTCAGCTGAGCAGAAATAGGCGCGTGCGACTCGGCACGCAGGCACTGTTGTTCAAACTCAAACTCCCAGACAGCCGTGGGACACCTGCGAACAACATTAACCACAATGCTGTTCGCGCGCATGCGCAGCGTCTTCGAGACGTCTCCGAGCTGCAACAGCCGGAGACTTGCGCATTGTGTCGGGTGCTATAAACGAGCTGAACGTGCAAAGATGGCAGCTCAAGGCGACTTGCTCCGTGCGAAAGTGAAAGACGAACTGATGACAAGGGACGGCTTTGATAGATTCATCAAAGAGAAGAAGAAAAAGAAGAAGAAGGTCGATCTGCCGCCGCCAGACGAGGGACGGGAGGCGAAGAAAGTGAAGCTCCATCACCACCACCATCACCGTCATCACATCCACGCTGAGCACCGGAGCCCCCAGCCTCATCAGCCGCAGCAAAAACCCAAAAGCCAGAACTTCGGCGCGGACAAGCACGTCCTGCACGTCCACCACCACAACCGCCAGCACAGCCACGGGCTCAGCAACGGCACCAAGAAGAGCTCACAGCCCGCTTTGCCCCCACAGCAGCGCACCGGGGCTCCACAGCCACCTGCGCTCTTCGCTTTGACGCCCCTCAAAGTGGCCGAGACAAGGCCGCAGGAAGTCCGAGAGAAGCCCGGAGAGAGGGAGCTGAAACTGAAGCTGAAGAAGGAAAACTCCGAGGCTAATGTGAAACACCTGGTGCTGAAGAAGAAAAAGGGTGAGTTTATTACAATGTTATAATAACAGTTATTACCACTGGGTCGTTTGCATGGAAATAATCCTYACTTTATATGAAACACCAGAACAAGCATCATTGTTGCTTTGGTTCTAACAGACACTAATTAAGTATTAGCCCATGCATGTAAAGTTTATTAAACTTCATTAATAAAAACAAAATCTATATGCAGTAAATAAAAAAACAGTAAATCAGGCTGTGAATGAAAAGAGTGCAGAGTGAAGAAAAAATCTTAGATTTGTTTTTTATTTTCTAAATAAAAATAGGAGGAGATAGGGTAGTGCTAATCCTCTAATAACATATTTATTCTGCTTTTCCAGGAGAATGTTGTGGTGTTGATGTAAAAATGTCCATGATTTATGGATCAAAACAAAAAAAAAAAACAAATCTGTTTTTGCTAAGTTTTAAAATGAAGTACACAAAACTCCAAGTATGCAAAATGACATTTATTACACAGTGTCTTTTAGGCTTTATTAAAGTGTTTAAATAGAAGTAGACCTGTTGTGTATGAAAAAACAAACTCCRCCTTTTATTCATTAGTTTGTAGAAGCTTGGCCAGTTCTTCTTATGGATTGTWGGATAAAGATTAAAGTTAGGAGGGCTTTTATTTTGGCACGTATCTTTTTAAGTTATTTCAGACCGGTTAATAACAGGACTTTGACAGGATAGGACAGCAACATCGTGATTTATTTACTTTTAATTCATGCTCTGGATCTGTGTGGCTTCATGGCACAAATTAGATGAAGCTTCAGATGTCAGGCAAATACAGGAAGTTCATTGCAGATGTGGTGACTGACTGGTAAATGAGCTCAAATCATCATCCCTCCGCCACTGCTCTYGAGAGTTAAGCTAATTGGATAAACATTTGTTTATCTGAGGCCCAATTTGTTGGGATTAGGTGGACAAAAAATTTAAAATGAATGCAGATTTGTAGATTTGAAAGAGAGAACTTTATTTTGACTGTATGTGTCAGCTTTGGACTGATGTAAATTTAACCTCTTGAGCCCCAAGTTTTTTCTCAAAATACCATGCTGAGATGTAACTGAGTATATCTCAGCATTTACAAACTCTACTTAAATAACCTTGGTATCAAAATAAAGCTAACACTTGGGAGATTTCATCAGAAGTGTAAGTATTAAAGAGATATTGGGGATGGAACATAATATTTTGATATTTTTTTCACTCTCATCTGAATTTTTTACATTTGACAGTGTRTAACCTATTTAAAACCATAATGAAGTAGGCTTAAAACTCTTGGAAACCATATACCTGTGCAAAGATTCATGCTGCTAAAATTAACTGGAGCAAAGTTAGAGGTTTWMGTAAAGAAATRATTTTAGTTTTTGTCATTCTGCACAGGACGGACCATGATGGTAACATTAATAAAGGTTAAGAAATCTTAAGYTTTTACTTTCAAAAGTTATTTATTTTTTCTTACCTTCCTGAAAAGACTTGTTATTGAATGTTTGTTCTTTAGAAAAGTTATCCAAACATTTATTTGTCACCACATACAGTATATTATATAAAATACATTACATTATCTTAACTTTTTATAATTTTCTACTGCGATATATACCGTTACCGTGATATGAATTTGAGGTCATACCACCCAGCCCTAGTTTGTTTACTTTCTGATTCAACTGCTTGTCATTTGAACTGTGTTTAATGAATGTAAAAATAGTTTCCATGAGCTTTTGGCCAAGATTCTCAGCTTTCATGTGCAGGTTCAACTGACAGATCTTAAGTTAAAAGAAATAAAAAATGGAAAAAGCTGTTTTGCCCCCACTACCGGGGGCATGGGGCTCAAGGGGTTAACTTTTTCATGATCCTTTCTAACCTCCAGTTGTCTGAACTTTCAGAGTTGAGGCTTCACAATGAAAATGGCAAGTCTCTARCGGTGGAGGAATATCTCCTAAAAAAGAAAAAGAAGAGAAAGCATCGTGAGGACGATCAAGTTGCTAAGAAGGTCCGACACACGCACACCAAAGCAGTTCAGACTGTGTGCAAAGGGCTTGGAGCTGACCTCAGAACGCTTGTTCGCCCTGATGTGCCTCTGCCTGCAGCTGGAAAACACGACAACAGCCCTCATCCCAACAGYGATGCTGTCGACAGCTCCCCTCCCTATCTCCACGCTCTCAGCAGGGGCTGTGCCTCCTTCTTGTCCCATCAGGACCACTACATCCGCAGCTCCTGCCTTCAGACGGGCACCAGGTACGGACGYTTCATGCACGAGGAGAGGCAACCCAACGGAGGGGGCGCTGTCCTGCACGCCTATGCTGACGAGTTGGCCTCCCTCAGTCCGGCTGAGATGGAGTGCTTTGCCCACGAGTTCCTGGATTTGACCTTCGCTGAGAAGCCCAAAGGCGCAGCGCTCTATGCCTTGACGGTGGTGCACAGGGCAGCGTCCTACATGCCCGACTTCCTGGACTACTTTGCCTTCAATTTCCCCAACACGCCAGTCAAAATGGAAATACTGGGCAAGAAAGACATTGAGACCACCACGATTGGCAACTTTCATGTTCAGGTATGTGGAAAAGGCAACACTGCACCACATAAAAATATCAGGAAATTAAAAAGAAAACCTATTTTGTTGAGTTAAATGGAACATAAGATTTAAAGTCCAGCTTTTTGTTCCTCTTATCGTGGAGAATCCAGATAAGGGCGGTGTGTCTTCTGAATAAATGAAAATGATTTAACACAGTTGTTTATACTTTTAGCAGCTCTTTTTATTCCACAGCTGACCTGCTAAAAATGACAGATTTTCTTTTCTGGATCTCTGACAGCATGACTTCAATCTCTGAACTCGTAAAGTTCTTTTTAATTTTCGCTGTCATTTTCCTGAATGGGCACTTCCTTGTATCTGAGGCAGGAAACATATCCTTATATGGTGTTTTTGGGGTGGTAATTATGCTAATCTCCTCTTGCATGCACAAGCAGCTGATACGAACAGGTGGAATTTACGCAGCTCATTTACACACTTTTCCTGAAGATAGAAGAGTTTGTTGAATCTGACGTGACATGTTCGTACGAACCCTTTGTACGAACAAAAGTAAGAGAAATTTAGGATAAGAATATGAACATGTTCTTGCATGAGGCCCAATGTCTTTTAAGCTTACTCTTGCTTATGCCAAAAAAAAAATTAAATATTGGGAATGTTGGGTGTACGAGTGGTGGAGTCGCATTCAAAAAGTGACAAATATTACCACAGTAAATGGACTGAAAGCTTCAGTATGGTCGCTTGGCATCTGACTAGATGACGCACAGGCATGTGGTTGTTCAGCCTTCGTTTTCACACAAACCTTTCACAGCTCCTGAGACACACCGAGCCGAGCTCCTTAGAAACCCCTCCCGCTGCGTTATATGTCACTGCACAGGGTTTCTTTCCACTGGAGTCTACAATGCAGAAAAAAGGTCCGAAACCTGTCACTTGACATTATTTGTGCACAAATCTGTCCTGGTTAAAGCTCCACAGTTTTTACAAGACAGATTCCTCCCTGCACAAAGCCTGTTTCATCTCCATCCACGAGATTTTGACCGTTTGACTATTTTTGTAAATGTCTGATTCTGGGTAGGCTACATCAGTCGGCTTCTCGAAGCGAGTAGGTTTTTTTTCTTTGTTTGTTTGGGGTTTTTGGTGGGGAGGGGGCGTGTTTGAAGCAAAACGCAGYGTCCGAGAGCTTTCAGCATAACCAAACACTCCCTCGAACTTCTGACCAAACACACAAGTTCTTATGTAGAGGGGGTAAAAAGTTTGGCCCGCGGGTTGCAACAAGAAGGTGCCGAAATGTCGACAGTGCAAACTTTTTACACAATTTTTGTCACGAAACTGCGACAATCCAATCTGACTGCACGCTTGAGACAGATGACAACTATCAATCAATTGTGCTGCTCTGGCCACAGTGCCACCACACCACCTCAGAGAGACAACAGCTCCACTACTCCCGTTAGCGATCTCTGTGTCGTCTTGGGTTCAGATCCTACTTTATGAGCAGAGGATCTGGATTCCCCACACTAACACCACAAATGACAAAATAACAAAATTTGGAACTTGTTTTAAACCGTGTTCTGTACATTGCAAAGTCATTTAAGTGTGGAAAAGATAAAACTGCATCCATAACTTGCTTTGGACTAGCAAACTTTATCAAGAGAGCGCTAATTTCTAAAGAATCATATACAGTATACTCCTGTTTGATTAAAGTTCAAATCAAACTATCAAAACAGCTGGAGCTGTGTGGATGTTTTTTGGAGGTCAGGCAGCTACAACACAGTTTAGATACTTGGGATCACGCTATACAAACAGTTGCTGAAACTCTTTTCAGAGATGCAGACAAATTTGCAGAGCAGGCTGAAGGCAAAGCTGGGAGTCAGATGGCTCAGCTGATAACAAAGTTTGAGGAGAACCAGCAAGGAGAAAGGAGCTGACCTGAAAAACAATGAGGAAGAGAAAAAAGCTGAGATTTATGTTGACATAAGCAGTATTTAGGTTGGCGAGACAACTTTTTTTTTTTTCGGGGCAACCAGATCCCGCCTTCTGGTTGTCCAGTGGACAACAAAGGAAAAAAAGACATAGATTAAAGTTCTTTGCCGCGTTCGTCCATCATTTGTAAAAATGAAAAGGAGAAAAAACTTGTTAAAGCCATCTAGGGATTAAACCGACGTTTTTTTCACCCAATAGAGAGAACTGCAGTCAATGTTTTACCCAATCAGGACAGAGCAGGGTTGTGCTGTCTGATTTGACAGCATAACAATTATTCTAGCTACCAGTTTTGATCACGTTTTTCTTACAGTACTGTATCTTTTACAGTGTAACCCATGAATTTTTACTTAATACTAATTCTATGAAAGTTTTGAGAAGGGTTAGGGGTAGAATTGATGGCAAAAACAGCCTCTCAGCAAATTAAAATAATTATTTGCCTGTTTAATAAATTAAGACAATTGCTGTAGAATCTGAGTTTATGGTTTACCTTTTTACTAACCTGAACTATAATATTTTACTGTTTATGTATAAGGCTCACAAAAACTTATTACCTTCTAACATCCACTTAAATTTTGTTAAGAGAGAATTATTATATTAAAGGGGTGGAGATGTTTGTGAAGCCTTGGTTTCAGACAAATTTGAAGGAACGGTCTACTTCAGTCTAGGGAATAAGATTGTGGAATGGACTGTTAAAAATGCCCGATCAGTGTACATATATTGTAC